AGCCTGAGCAGCAGCAGCAGCAGCAGCAACCTGAAGAGCAGCAGCACCAGGAGCCTGAACAGCAGTATCAGTCTGAAGAGCAGCAGCAGCAGCAGAACGCTTCTGAAGGGCAGCAGCAACAGGAGACTGAACAACAGCAGCAGCAGGAGCCTGAACAGCAGCGGGAGGAACCTGAACAGCAGCAGCAGCAGCAACAGCAGGAGCCTAAACAGCAGCAGGGGGAGCCTGAGCAGCAGCAGCAGCAGCAAGAGCAGCAGGAGCAGCAGCAGCAGCATCAGCAACAGCAGCACGAGCAGCATCAAGAGCAGCAGGAGCGTAAGCAGCAGCAGCGGGAGGAGCAGCAGCAGTCTGAGCAGGAGAAGCCTGAGCAGCAGCGTAAACAGCAGCAGCCTCAAGAGCAGCAGCAGCAGCAGCAGCAGAAAACACCTGCAATGCATCAGAAGTATGAAGACTCCGTTCAAAGAGCGGAACGGGCAGCAGCAGCTGCTGCTGCAAGCGCCGCTGCTGCTGCAGCAGCAGCAACGAGTGCTGCAGAAGCTGCCGCAGCAGCAGCACGGGCAACTGGCGCTCACTCTCAGCATGCAGCCGCAGCAGCTGCTGCTGCAGCAGCTGCAGACGAGGCATCTGCTGCAGCAAGGGAAGCAGCGGGAGCAGCAGCAGAGATCCTGGCGAGTTCAGCAGCAGCAGAGGAGGGAGCAGCAGCAGCTGTAGCACCACGAAGTACAGCAGCAGCAGCAGCGCAGGGTGCAGCAAACACAGCAGTAGCACCAAAAGCAGCAGCACCAGCAGAAAACCCTCATCCTGCTGCAGCAGCTGAAGGAGAGGCTCCAGCAGCACCAGCAGCAGCACAGCCATCTCAAGGAGCAGCAGCTGCAGCACCAGCAGCAGCACCAGCAGCAGCACCAGCAGCACCCAAAGCCGCAGCAGCAGCACCAGCAGCAGCAGCACGGCCGCCAGCAGGAGCACCCGCCGCAGCAGCAAAGCGTGCACCCGCAGCAGCAGCACGGGCACCCGCAGTAGCAGCAGCACGGGCAGCAGCAGCTCCCGCAGTAGCAGCAGCAGCAGCAGGACGATCCCCAGCCGCCGGCCCCGCAGCAAAGCCGGCAGCTGCTGCAGCAGCGGGCGCACGCGGCGGAGCAGCAGCAGCAGCCCACCCCGCAGCAGCTGCAGCGCCCCCAGCAGCAGCAGCAGCAGCAGCAGCAGCAGCAAACGGGAACTCGCACGACTGCCTGCGCTTCGGCAGCGACAGCGTGGGCAAAGACATCCGGAAAATAGAAGATGGATCTGTAGGATCTGTTGCTGCTTGTGCTGCTGCTTGTGCTGCTGTGCTGCGCTGCAGCAGCTACACCTTCAACCTGCGCCGCAGCTGGTGCTACTTGAAGGAGACACAGGAGCCTGCAGCAGCAGCAGTAGCAGCAGCAGCAGTTTTCAAGCCGCAGCCTTCTTACGCGGAGCCTTTGGTCTCAGGTTTGAGGAGCTGCCAGCCTGCTGCAGCAGCAGCTACCAGGCGCCTGCAGCAGCAGCAGCAGCAGCAAGAGCAGCAGCGGGAGGCCCCTGAGGAGAACGCAGAGAACAGCGGTGTGCTCCCCTCAACTGAGGAAGAGCTGCTGCAGGGACTGCAGCAGCAGCAAACTGAAGTGCTGCAGCAGGGGGGCCCCCCGCGAAGCGCAGCAGCAGCCCCATCGAGCAGCGAGGGCCCCCCCGAAGAGCCCCCAGCAGCAGCAGCAGCAGCAGCAGCAGCAGCAGCG